CCTGCTCATTCATGACATAAAAGTAAAAAAATGCGTGGTGCGGTTTGTTTTATGAAAAAAAATGAATAAATCAATCATTGGTGATCTTCTCGAATCAACAGACAAGATGTGAGTTAGTTTTTAAATAAATAGTTATTTTGCTCTTAAGGTTTTCTTCAGTTTTCTTTTTGTAAATAGATACAAATTTTGGTGTTTAATGTCCCACTCTACAGCATATTTTTTAGAATTGACTGATAGGTCAACAGTCATGACAAAATCAAGGCTGATAATGCTTAACTATCAGAAAATTTGGTGCATCAATAACTAACCTAGGGTGTCCTGGGACGAGAGCGTTCTACGATCGGAAGTAATGGAGGAATTGATTTCGGATCGTGTTCAAATTCATCGAATTCTCTTCAACGCCTTACCACCTCAACCGGCTCGTGAATCGCGCCTCCTTCGTGGGCGACAGATTCTGGTGAAGACGAAGGGTGCAGATTCGGATGCAGATGAATTGGTTGTAGGAGTCGCGATCGTCAGCACTTCAGTAAATCATGGAGTCGTGGTACCCGAGGTGCCACAGGAACTCCTCCCCTCGGCCCACTTCACCAAGGAACATCTTCTTATTGAAAGAATTACCGATCACTCGAGACCGTTTTGCCGTGTCACGCTTATTTCAGAGGCTGATATAAAGTTAGCGAATCAATTCATTTGTTCTTAACGTTTCATATGGTAAGAATTTCATTACACTGAAGACATCGTAATAGCTATTGATAATACTCTACCCATTGTATGTGAATAATATGCAAAAGGGATTGGGAGGTTTGATTTTGCCCTTTATGACCACTAGTATTGAGGCGGCACTTTTAGTACAAAATGCTATTTAAACCCTTCTTTAGGGAAATTATTTTTGCATGCCTCAACTCCTTGCTGTTGATCTTAGACCAGCACGAAGTGGAGCCATTACTAAACGCATGGAACACTTGGTAATTTTAGAATTGGAAGGGATTTTAGTTGTTGAAAATGCTGTAATTGGACCAGTTGTGATTTATTCACGAATCGACTGCCATGCGCATTGATCGTCATCCCTAAAATTTGCAGGGGCTTCTCTCAGGAATGGTACACTAACCAATGGGGTCATTACCTTCTTCGAAGACTTTTGGCTCTGCGTCACAGCTTTGCTCAACACTCCGAACCCGTCCAAGGCCTTAACTCCTCTCCTCCTTCTCTTCCTGCGGCAAAGCAAACCGAATCTTTCGCCTAAGACTATGCGGCATGCATGTGAACCCACAGTTCACTTGACACTGTTTGATTCACGCTCAAGATGTTTACTCCTCTTTCTCCTATCTCCTACCGACTAAATGAAACGTTCAGACATTCTAAACGCTTGTACACATTCTTTTATCAAGAGTTATCCTCATCTCAAGAGTTTGTCACCCACTTGTGTGTCGTCGAGGAAGTGAACATATTGACTTCCTCTAGTTATTGCTCGGATATATACATATGCACATATATATTTGCAGAATAAACTGTCTAAAATGTGAATTGTGTTTTATTGTCTCTGCTTCTCATATTATACACTACAGATTCTGCTCTGGCATCTACATTGACATGACGTTTAAAGCCAATTTACTAAGAAATGACAATGAAAAGGCCATGGTTATCGATGAAGTAAAATCGCCTTGCCATTAAGAATCTTAATCCAGCGTAGCAGTCTTCACTTCATTACTCTAAAATTACTAGCCGTGGTATCATTCATTCATGCAAATAATGCTGTGTATGATTGTTTTGCAATTAACGCTCGTATTATTCATCCCTAAAAACTAGTGATTTCCTACCACAGGACTTTTCTAAACCTTGCACTCATATGACAATGGTACCTCCTTCTTCCTTCGATTCTTCATTAGAAATTGTTAAAATTTCCTTTAATGTATTGCTCTACCAAAACCATACTGTGAACAAAGCATAATTATAAAAAACAACGGTCGTCAAGACTATATTTCAATAGGCAGAATCATTATTTACAGCTTTGGCTATTTTAATGTTAAATTGAATGCATTCCAACGATATTTGTTCTTCTAAATAAACTGCCTCCTGTGTGCATGTCATCTATGCTTTAAAAAACCCTTGCAATAGTCGCATTACCAAGATAACAGAACACATACCACCATATCGTTTTGTTTTCATTCGGCGATTTTGAAACCAAATCTTCACCTACAATGGCATCAAGAATGTGCCCCTTGTGCAAATTAATCATTTAAATGGCTTAGTTAAACTTCTTATTCTCA